TATATATACCAAGAGGTGCAAGAAGAAAAATAAAATTTTCATAACTACACGCACGTTTCTCATTTCATTATACATGCAAAAATATAACAACACGATCGAAACTCACGTGAGCGGCTTCGAGAGTATATGGAGCACGACGTAACAATAAGTAATGGGAAACAATACAATAATTTTTCATACTGTTTTTACTTTTTACTACTATGATTACGTATCCGTATAATCTTATTCTTATCGTATATTGTATATTTAACCGTGGCGCGTATCAAGCGCGTTGCATTCTCCGACACTCTTTAAGGATATCTACGGTGTCGCGAAAGTCATGCCTCCGCAGGATTTACAGAAGACTGAGTTTCACACACAGTAAAACGTCAGATTCACCGCGAATATATGAATTATTGCATTAAACATCCACGCCGCCGTTCCCGCCGCGACTGAGTATTCGACATTAAGGATAGATCGATAGATCACGGAAGCAAAAATTCAGAGATCCAAAGTTCCGCGAAAGTTCCGAGATACCGAGGATTCGAGAACGCGAGGCTAATCACGGTCGCTGAATCCAGAAAAGTACAAGAAAGAATTCAAGGATCGGAGGGCCGAAAGATGTGCTACGGAGTGAATGTAAAAATTTTCACTAACGGTAAGACATAGATCTGTGTACCCGTTTATACGCGTGTTTGCATTACGCGTGTTTGCCGGGGCAAACATTTAACCTTTATTCCGAGTAAGACCAACTTTACACTGTAAATCCTGAGGTCCAACTTCCGAGGCAATCTCTACACACGCGTACCGATATTTACATACTGCGCTCTATAGTTTGTATCTACAGCAGTTGCCGAGGATTCGACTCAATTATACGAGAGAGCACGAGATGCATAAGCTCGCGTGTGTGCCCGGTGTGCGTATGTTACGTGTGCTTGTGTGTATGCGACTCGGGAGAGCGAGGGCTCGCTTGCGTGTGTATTCCAAGAGCGATTCGCGATCGGCGAGTAATGCCGATAAAAAAAACATAAAAAAGAGAGATATTATTTCCCGATATTCCCGAGGAAACGGCGATAGCAGGCAAAGCTTCTTGCGCGAAATTCATTCACGAGAGTGTCATTCACGAAAAGGTCTCGAAAAGCAGGTGCGAAATGAACAACGAGAATGAACATCGCGTTCTCCGACTATAGTTCGTCACTCTGTATCGTGTTAACATGCTTTCAGTGTAAGTCGTTTCATAAGCTTCGAGATTTTGAAGGAACACGGAGAGCTCCGCTGCGATCTCCTGCGCGCTCTATCATCCGGAGATTGTAGAGAGCGTAAAATTGTGATTAACGAAAAACGAAGCTTGATAAAGTATAAATCCGCGGAGCTGTCGGACTTTTATTTCACACCACGCTCGTCTCAACGACTGATATTCCTTTTATTATATGTCCCGCGTGTGACTGTTAAACAATCGATCACGTCCCACACTTGGAGGAATGATGAGTCAATAAATCTCTCTTTGTCGGAATATGTGTCCATTTTTATTTTATTTCGTAATCGCGGCTTACAATCACGATTAATTGTTAAGTCTCACATGTAAGAAACATAATAAAGGATTGTTCGGTCGGCATGTAAGTAGATTTACCTTATAGCGCAGCGCGCAGGATCGCAGCGGGCGCGTGATGTTACAAAAGATTGTTAAACGATATCATGAAGATTGTTTCACTAACCTCCCCCAATCGGTATCGACCACGGTTTGATAGCAGCGTCATATTGGCATAATTTACGAATCGATGTCAATTAAAAAAGAAGCAAACGAGATCGACGAAAAGTACCGGCAGAGAGAGAGAGAGAGAGAGAGAGAGAGTGAACACGAAAGACAGGCGACGGGAACAAAACATAATGTCTAAGTATGCGCGTAACCGTTAACGTTATTTTTACTTGCCGTACCGATACCTCTGTCCGCGCATATCGTGTGTATGTGTGTGCGTGTGTGTGTGTGTGTGTGTGTATGTGTGTGCGTGCGTGTGTGTGTGTGTGGTATGTGAGAAAAACAAACAGAGAGACAGAAAAACAAAAAACCATAGACTGCCTAAAAATGCGCGACCGGACTAACAACACAAAAACTCACACTACACGTATATCGTGTACACACTTTCGTATGATTTTTAACGTCCGCAAATACTTACTAAACAACAATCGACTTTGCAATTGCGCGTCGTTAGAATTTAGACGAACGGATAGAACTCGTCCAGACACTCGCAACAAGCGTTTTTCATTCGAACGTGTCGGCACGTGTGTGAAGTTGGCCCCGTACTTTTCGAATTTTGTATTTTTTCGAATTGTGCTGCATTGTGCTACATTTGTGCCGTATTGCGCCGCAAGGTTAGAGATACACATGGTAGAAAAGGTTATTTGTCAATTTGTATTTTAACTTCAACATTTCTTTTCTACCGAACTAAAGGAGATATCCAGTTTCTTCAAACGCGGCACAACACGGCACAAATTAGTAGGAATTCACAAACAAAAATTGGGTTCATTCGGAGGAAGAGTAGGAGGCTGGCAAATTTTCGTTTTGGTTTTTTCTCAAATGCTATTGAAGTTATCGGTCTCGCGTTTGCGGCACAAATCAGCACAAACATAGTACAATACGGCACAATAAAGAAAAACTTAAAATTCGAAAAGTGCGGGGCTACCAAAAATTTAGTTTTTCTTAATTTTCTATAAGTACGCTTTGAGTTACAGAGTTGCGGATTGCGGCACAAACGTAGCACAATGCGGCACAATTCGAAAAAATATAAAATTCCAAAAGTGCGGGGCCAACTTCACACCTCGTCATGTCGGCATCGTAAACAATTTTTTCACCGATTTCGCGTGCAGGTGCTCGTCGAACGCTCGTCCGCAGTTTTTTTTCCGTCTGTCTGGCTCTCCCTACGCTTCGACTTCGATTTTCCGATTAACAAATAAAAATCCTCAATCGTATCCCGAGGCGCGAGGTAGCTTTCCGACGTCTTTGGTTTCGACTTTGATTTTCCGATTAACAAATCAAAATCCGCGATCATATCCCGAGGCGCGAAGGATCTCTAATCTTTCGACGGCTACCCTGCTGGTGAGACGAAAGACCACGATCGCTGGGGTTATCTACATTGATACGCGTCAATCTCGTCGATACCGATCTCGTTAAGAAAGTGAAGTTGAAGTAAGTGTACTCGTTACGCGGCAGGGTATATTCTCGTGGGCGTCTATACGTGTCCGTGACGAAACTTTTGTCGGCCGGTAAATAAATCTCTACTGTTCCCCGCAAGGTTAATAACTTAAAATATACGACGATATGCAGCTCGTCGCGGCGATCATGAATTTCTTTTAAAATTATAATTGCGTCTGTGTGAATTTCAAATGAGACTTATCACTCGAGATTCTATGCAGATTTTATTTTTCGACGTGTACAGTAAACGGCGCATGAATATTGTTCGATGAAAATTCATTCGGTCAATGCACTCTTAATTTTCGCGACTACGAGTGTTTTATCATAGAATAATGAGCGGTGGATCGTGTGGAAAGTTTGCGATAAATTAAATGAGAACCGAGTGGAGTACAATTATCGCGCGCGCGTGCTTTGTCACTCGGGAGAACTCACACAAGATTTCTCAAAATGTACTCTGCTGTACAGAGAACGCGTGTGGTGAGGTGGAAACTCGCGAAAAGCACAGCAATGTTAATGTTTCCGCGATGAGGAGCAACAGGTAGGCTGCTCGGAAATTGCGCGATCGCAGGTGAAAATTCATAGCGATTTCAACAATGTTGTATAACGATTGGGAATAGCGCGAGCAGGCGATCGATCGTTAACGATCGCGCGATCGGAGCGGCCGAACGACGATCACGAACAACAAAAGGAAAGGAACAAAACATTTCGAGCCGCTTGGTAAACGATTCAGCGCTTAACAAAGCCGAAAGAGAGGAACACTAATTATATCTCTCCGTAAATATCCTATAATATACCCAAAACCAAAAAAAAAAGATAACCAAAGCATTGTAACCTTCTAGAGGCAAAGAAGAAATAGAGAAGTACCTAATCTTATATCGTTTAGTTCGACCACTGATTTGTCCGTGTGTGTTCGTTATTGAAATATGTTTCTTTAGTAAAAAAATCTTGAAAAATTTTCAAAGTATATTCAATTTACCTATAACCTCCTTTCCCATCGTCCCCCTCGTCCGCCATAGCGTTGTTCGAACCTTCTAGAAAATGACGCCAAGATGGCTGCGACAAATAATCGAGATCGAAGCAGCCCAATTCCGCTTGTCCTGATGACCATTATCGTCCCGATTCGACGTATGATTCTCTGCATGACGCTCTTAGCAATGCTGATTCTAAAAATTCCACGAAAACGCAGTTTTGAGTTGACTGGAGTTGATCCTTTATCGTCGCAAACGAGACGCGAGAAATACGCACATATGCAAAATATATTCGAAAGACGCGATATCGCGAAATCGGGAAATGTAGGTTAAAAAAAAGTTCGACTATCTCGACAAACATTCCGATGTCTCAACGCGTCCGTACGATCGAGCGTCGAAACGCGAATGAAAAACGACGAATGACGAATGCGCTAATGAGATTTCAACAAGACGAGTGTCTTACCTTCGCGATCGGCGCCCGACTTGTCGTCTCGGCGTCATGTCCGTTGAAACGAACGCCCGTTCGAAGCGAGCGAGAATGAAGGACGCCGCAGGGCGATATCTCCGGGACTGATTCCGCCGGCGAACTTTCCGGAAGGATATACCTACGAAGAGCCGAATGAAGGTGACCCTTGCCTGCTGACAAATCCGACGTCCGTCCGTGTTTATTTTCGGAAGCACGGTGGAAAGTTTCGCCGCATTGCGCCCTTGTACCTGTCCCGCGGCGGATGCCGCGATTCAAAAGAAAGAGAGAGAGAGAGAGAGGGGGGGGAGAGAGAGAGAGAGAGTGAGCGTGGGGGGTGATGATCGTGCGCAGCGTGATGGTGGTATTGGTGGTTCTCTGCCTGAGTTCAGTTCGCTCGCGACGTTAGCATCGTCTGGTCGTAGCGCCACCGTTCGTGTTCGTCCCTCTCTCTCTCTCTCTCTCTCTCTTTCTCTCATTCACTTTCGTGGTTCTCTTTCGCGCGCATTGTCACGGGATGATCGACGAGAGATCAACCGGCTTCCACGAGTTACATACGCGGGATACGTGGGAGCGTCGTAAATAACGTGTTTCCGCGAAGTGTGCGCTGTGTTGTTTTTCTCGGCGCGCCGTTTTTGTCAGTTGTTTAGGTTACGTCAGTAAGTGAGACACGAGCTTACCTCGGCCGGAGCAACAAGTGAGCACGTGGAAAATACGCGACCTCGCTGGATGTGGTGCCGTTGACGACGTCGTTGATGAGATTACCACTAGAGATACTCCGTCTCGAGAAAGATCGCATCTCGGTAAAACGTCGATGCGGGGAGATCGGCCTCGTCAGGACAAGCTGCACTTGGAATGCACGGAACAGTTGCGAAATCGAAACGGGGTCACGTGATAAAAACGATCGTACGGAAGTTGGCCGAGTAGCCGGGCTTCTTGCGATTCTCGCAAAGTGAAGTCCGCGGCAAGTTCGTGGCGAACACAACGGACGTTCTCGAACGTGCGTGGACGTGCGTGGGTGCTCGGCTTCACGGAGGTGATACACGCTTCAGAATTCTGCATCTTCGTCTAGATTGCGTGTGCCGACGAGCCTCGTTGACTTCTGTGTCTGTCTGTGGGACGAGTCGCGTCTACCTGGAGTAAGGTCAAAGTGGATCGACAAGTGTGAGACACCGCTCTCGGGACACTGACCGTTGCGAAATGATCGCGGTAATGGCTCCGGGAATCATGTCGGACGGAGAGAGAAGCACGATGAGTCGACTTGTCACGTAAGCCAGGGGGGGGGGTGAGTTCACAGTGATTAATGTATGACAAATTACTGACGCGGTGTTGGAGACTCGCGATCGTCGGCGGCGAAACGAAGTAGCGAGACGGCGAGTAGCATCGAAATTTTCGCGATCGGTCGGTCGAAAGTGCTCGTTCGCGCTCGTTCGAAATGGGGCGCAAAACGACGCGTTCTGACGAATGACGAATGCCAGTGCGGGGATAATAACGATTGTGAGAAACGATCCGGCGTTTTGCTCTCTTTTCCGATTAATGACTGTGTGAGTGTCGTCTAGTCAATGGTCGTCTTTGTTCAGCTCGTATCTGGAATTGTGTGTGCGGGGACTCTTTTTTTCTCCTGGATCATGGCTGCTGCGAGGAGATTCGCAAACATCGTGACTTTCGTCATCGTCCTGTTGATGCTGCACCACGATCTGCACGTCGTTCAAGCACGCGGATTTAGGCGCAGCCTCAAGTACGGTGAGTGTTACCTGTTGTGTCGCACTGCGATATGCTTCAGTGTTCTTCAAATCTTTCTTGAAACGCTATATACAATGTACAATGGCATCAATGGCAAGTTTCGCAGAACAACAACGGAAAGACTTACATTCTGATTAACTTGCAGATCATTGGCCGAACTTGAAGTCGATCTTTCTTTCGTTGAAACGACAAATTTTTCTCTTTCTAAGTAAATTTCCGGAATACGGTGATAATTGTCATTTAGCAGCATTTTCATATTTATTTTATGTTTCTAGATTAGGTTTCTAGGGTTTGCCATCAAGGATAATTTGAACAACATTGAATGTCTTAGATATCGAATAATATTAAACAGAAATATTGTTCAAGACTATCAGGGAATCACGCTGAATAATTGGTTTTGTTGTTACTTCTGCAGACTGAAAGTGAAATATGAGAAGAAAAAGCTAGAGTATAAGTAGATTCGTTGAAGATTAAATCAAATATTATGAGAAATTTGCGGTACTTTAAATAACCCTTAGTTAAAATTATGGTGCTATCTTAAATCTCACAACGAAAAAAGAATACGTGTGAGAATTATTAAAAGATAAAATTTGGCTTCTCTATTATTTGTATTAATCAAATCTTAGTTGTACCAATAAGTAATCACTCGCAGCAATAAATAATTATGAAAAAAGCAATACATAATTACTCGTGAAACCAAAAGAGCAATAGCCTGTATGGTATTGTGTTTTGAAATTTTCCACATTTGTCTTCAAAGACAAATCTTCAGTCTTCAGACTAGATTCTCCAAATTGGATCAGATTCTTCAAATTAGATGGAAATTGCGAAATTGATATAGAATAAAATTGCAATTCCGGTTAAATAATATAAGCATTTAAAGAAGTGATTCTTTAATTATTCGTAAAACCATGAGAGCTTGCATTGTATTGTATTTTGAAATTTTCCACATTTGTCTTCTAATTAAACTAGATTCTTAAAAATTGGATAAAATTCTTTAAATTTAAAGATGGAATTTGCAAAAGTATAGAATAAAATTGCACTTCGGGTTAAACATTTTTGAGCATTTAAAGAAGAAAGATTCCCTAATTGTTTCGAGCAATACAATAACATGATAACATAATTATATTTCATGATATGATAAGCTTGAATAAAACGATAATGGTATTTATGTGCTTGTCGGAGTAGCCGTATTTCACTCTGTAATTGCCAATTGTGTCACATCCCCATTAAAAATAAATTTCGCACATTCACTGTCCGACAAAACGATTGTACAATCAATGTTTACATTCGGCCGAGTGTCGTTTCGTACTTTAATGACACACTTCGCGCGACGTCAAGCGTCGTCTCTGTCTGTTTTCTTTCTTTCTTGAAATCCAGATTACGACGATATCTACCGTAGCGGCCGTTGACGTTACAGCGCACGGATTTACATAAGACATAAAACATTGCTCGTGTGCATAATAACGTACAATCGCTTATCCATAACATATTGAACATTATGCAAATCGGTACGGTGCAGACCTTAGCCAAAATTTCATCTTGAATCGCGTTTCAATTTTATTACCGGCGAGAAAGATGTACGCTGTACATTTTTTTCTTACGGCACATCAAGCTATTCATGATAAATACTTCCACATCGATACCCACTACTTTTACTTACGACGATAATTCTTTGCGGAGATATCAAGAGATAATTTGAAACTTCAATTTGCACAAGACGTTTCCGGCGCCAGAGCACGCTAGGTGAACGCTTCACACATTGTTCCACGATTGTAGACTCTCGTCGGCATTAGCGTCTCCCGCGAGTCTTTCTGCCGTGGCCGTTCGTTCTCGTCGCGGAAGTTAATTACCGATTCCGCATTAAATCAACGCCGTTGCTCCGGATTGCACTTACGCGACGACTCACGCGATCCGCGTGTATCACGCGACGCCCACGCGACACGTTCACCCTCCGGACCGTCGGACGATATTTCGCTCGAGATTAAATCGCGCGCGATGCGCTTCTCTCCGTTGCACGCGTTCTCGTTTCGTAGAATATAATCTCGACTTGTTTCCGCGCGCGCGGTGCGTGTGGTCTTTTGGAGATATTGTTGAAAATTCCGACTTATGCCGCGCGCGACCTCGTAAAACGCGCGTCTGCTCCGGGAATATTAAGTGTCAGGACATTCCGCGCCTCCCTCCCCCCCTCCCCCGCCCCCGCCCCCGCCCCCGGGGCTCGTTGCTTTATATTTAGCGGCGCGGCGAACGCGCCGATTCGAACACGCCGTAGGGCGCACCGCGAGAAAGTGAGTGTAAACGCGCACGCACCCTTTGCCCGTTTACTCCGGGACGATCAAAGGCATTCTCCCGGGGATATCGATTCTTTCGTGCGACGATATCGCGCGGACGACGGTGTGCGCGCTGCTCAGTCGTGGAGCGACAAAAACGGAGAGCCGAGGCGGAGAGAGAGAGAGAGAGAGAGCGAGGCTGAGGAGAGAGCGAGCGAGTGAGTGAACGAACGCGAAGAAGTGCGCGGCTTCGAGCATGCGTTTCCGGCCGTGTAATTTAACGTAATTTATGAGCGCTCGGATTTTTCTACGAGCGGTTTATTCGCGTATACGCACGTGCGTATAAATAAACGGCGGACGCCGTCGGCGCGTGTCTCCTGATTAAGCAACGACAGTGGCGACTTTCATCGGGGCGCGCGCGTACGCGCGTCGTTTAATTGCGGCTCTGCGGCAATGCCCGGACGCATTAATCGATTCATCTCCGAGAACGCCTTCGCGAGCGCGTCTCGCGAGCGAGCGATTGTATCGCGAAATCGGGCTCTTTTCATAAAGTATCTCGGTTTCACATCGAACAGCTTCATTCGGCGCGGCGGCGTATTTAATTACCGGGGCGTCGTTGTATCTCTCTCGAGATTACCGCAGGGAAAGTTTCACGCGCGACACTCGTGCAATTTTAAGTCCCTCGCCGGCCGCGGCCGACGCTAACGAAGATTCCAGTGCAGAAGCCGCCGAGATTTCACGACGCGACAATGCATCACCGTGCTCTAGATCGTCGTGTTTCGATGACATTCCCGCGAAACACTTCGACCGTCCGACGGCTCGTTTACGATGTAATTAACAGCCGGTTAACTGCCACGGTTCGGCCACCGAGAATAATTAACTTCGGGCGAGTGCCTTCGCCTTTTGCGTGTCGTTTACGCTCCCCGTTCGCCGTCTTCTTCCCTCTTCGTTTCTCTCCCGCCCGAAGCTTCTCGCCCCTCCTCTCTTCCGCTCCTTGAATTTTCATTTGGATCATTTGGATCTCGTTTGCAGACGATCGAACCGCGAGACGGCAGACGCGTTTTTAGCCGAGACGATCGCGACGACCGCCTCGGCTCGAGAGATATTAAGAATAACTCGCGATAATTAACGTTCGCCGGCGGTTCTCCCGATGCAACGATCGATCGATTGATCGCACATGTAGCCGGAGCGAACGCGGCTCCTACGATCGGATCCTCGCGATACCGAGGATCGTGCTACGGCGCTCTCACTTCCTGTTTCTGCAATCCGGCTCATGCTCGGGCGTCGAGCCGGGCGGCAAAAGGCGGAAAAATTCCACTCCGAAATATTGCGAAATGCATTTCGTCCGCCCTGCCCCATACGTGTGTAACAGACACACACACACACACACAGCGTACAGTGTTTAAGCTATCGCGTTGCGTCCCGTTTTATGCGCGCATTTGTCTCACGGGCGGGCCGTATAGTGTCTATTTATTTATTACGACAGTTTATTGCAGCCACGTTTTCCTAGGGAAAAAATCACCACATATGGTCTAAAAAGAAAAACTCGGTAAGAGCAACGCGTGAGAGAAATAGTCTCACCGTAAGCGAGATGATTCAGGCGATAAAAAACGTATCTGGAAAAATAACACTTAGTCACGACCGGCGATCAGAAACACGTGAGATAATTCGGTTATTTCCGGCGTGATTTTCGGACAAAGTCAGGCGCGCGTGCGCGAGGGGAACCATAATGAAACGACCGGCTGAATCGAATGAAGATAAAGGGATAAAGACGCCGTGGCGGGTACCCTCGAGTTGTCGAGGCGTGGAAGGCGGTACTCGAGTCTATCTAAACGGCGAAGAAGATTCGCCCGCGGGGGAGTCATTAATTTAATTAGTTTCGGGGAAAGGGCGGGTTTAATCGCTCGCTCCGATGGATCGACATGAATGCTCGTTGTCCGCGGGACTCGAAGAAGCGCACGGCCGTTTCTGCCTGGAGAATCGCGCCGCGTCCGATCAGCCCGGTTATCTCGAAGAACATTTAACGGGGAAGTTTAAAGAGAAACCGACGCCTGTCCCGATGGCCTATCGGGGATGGCGTCGCTTCTCGACGACCGTCGGCGGCGTGCTTTCCGATACGGAGAACAGCTCTCTTCGCATTATACGCGTGCCCGTCCTAATGAATTATTGGCGCGTGACATGCCAGTACAAATTGCCGTGCATTGTCTCCCTTTGAAAGCGGGAATGTACAGGCCGTCGACGAAACACTTTCTCTCTCTCGTTAATTCAATTATTATGAATAATCATTCGGCCCAATTATCGGCGATTCTTAACGAAAGAAGAGTGATCGCGAGTCTCTCTCCGAACACGTCAATCAAAATTTCCAGCGCGCTTCATAGCCTTCGGTTTCTCACGACCGTACTCACCGATCGATCCCGAGAATTGGCTCGCAACAGGCGTCAATCACTCTGACGCGCTAAAATACGCCCGGTAACGATAAACGATAAACGGCCGACGTGCGTTGCGTAGCGCACCTGGCGCTCTTCGGAGCCGGCGCGACGCGACACGACGTGACGCGGCGCAATGCTCTCTCTCTCTCTCTCTCTCTCATCCGAAATCACTGCGTCGCTCTCGAAATAATCTCATTCTCGTCCCGCTCTCGCGCACGCTCCTCGTTTTATTCCTGTTTAAATGCCAGCCGCCGGGGCATGCAAAGTAACACTGCCGGCGTGTACGTGCCCGGAGTACCGAAGG